ATTACTTCAGAGAGCTAGCAGAAGAGGTCCTGCTCAACGTGCCAAAAAGAAGCGTTCTTTCGGAAGATGCAAATTCCTTGCATTTTTCCATCTTCTCCCACACACCCTTCTTTGGAGCCCAGGAAAAGAAAGTTGCCAACCACGAGGCACGAACATTTCTTATATGTTTGTTTATGCAACACAATGACACGTAACAATAAATTGTATTTTTTCTGTTAAAGGCGTAGTGAGGATTTCATTCACTGTTGTGCATTCACTGTTTTTTGTGAGCATGGCTTCAGTGACGTTCTTAGATGCGCTGATTGTTCAATGCGAAAAAAAAAGAATACTATAATGCATTTCCCATGCACGGTAAGGAGGGATGGTGAAAGCAGCGAAAGATATGCACAGTGCCCCCCGTAAACATGTCCTTTCAACTGTCAATCACACAATTATGCGCTTTCTGCATGTATATATATTAAACAGAAAATATAAAAATAGAAAAAGTAGAATTTGGCACAACACCAAATAGTAGATATGTAATTCCCACCAAAAATTATTCCAGGTATCTAAGTGATTACTTCACTTTTTACAAGAAATCACACCGTCTTGTTCAAACTCTGCTTTGCTGGTCATCAAAAGCATGCGAGTTCATTCCCCCATGCTGTTAGCGCACGCCCCAGATTCAGCTTGCTGATTCAAGTGCAGCACCTACTATCGGCGAATGCGTGAAAACCAGAGCATTTAAATAGAGAGCCAATACACATAAAATTTTAGAAGAGATGTTAACCATTTACATATTTGTTATGCCCCAAGAAGTACCTATTAAGTTTATAGGAGGTGCAAGAACCGCCTTCAAACACCGGCATGCGTTCCACAGCGAACCTTCGTCATGCTTGGAGAGAAGAGCAATCATTTTCCCTCTTTTGGCAGGAACAATGCCCATGTGTCATTAAACTCGAATTTCCTGCAAAGGGTCGGTTGTTATAGCAATCAGGGTGTCTACCAATTTGATATTTCTCAATTCCCTGACTTTACCAGGTTTTCCATGATGATCAAAAGCAAATTAAGTGACAGCCATGTAGACATAGAAAACTCTGTGCACTGTAAACAAACCCTCGAGTGGTAAAAAAAAAAGGCACTCCATATAAGTGAACATATTTACTAGACGCACTCAGAATGTTCTGAGCGTGTGCAGTAAATGTGAAAAAACATGTATACCTAGCCAAAATAAAACCCCTGAGGCAGGCAGTGAGCAAGTTGGCTGTTTAATGTTCGGGAGAATCAGGAAGCAAACACACAAGTTAAAAAGTAACTGAAGATGACACTTTGAAGGAGCCTGCGATAGTCCGGCATCACAGTCAAAGCTGCTAGAAAACGTAAAGTGATGCCATCTTGTGGCATCCGGGTAATACGTGGACACAAGAGCTTCGTATTACCTGGATGCCACGAGACTCCATTTACTATAATGGCTGTAGCCTATGCCGCTTTGCATGGGAATTGGATTGAATTAGATCAACCGGAAGTGCTCAACTATTTAGGATGTGGATTGAATTAGATCTTATTCGACCGGGATTGCTGTATTTACTATTGATTTGCCCCGCCCCGGTGGTCTAGTGGCTAAGGTACTCGGCTGCTGACCCGCAGGTCGCGGGTTCGATTCCCGGCTGCGGCGGCTGCATTTCCGATGGAGGCGGAAATGTTGTAGGCCCGTGTGCTCAGATTTGGGCGCACGTTAAAGAACCCCAGGTGGTCGAAATTTCCGGAGCCCTCCACTACGGCGTCTCTCATAATCATATGGTGGTTTTGGGACGTTAAACCCCACAAATCAAATCAATTACTATTGATTTGCATCGCCCCCTAATTTGAGCACCTCTAAGTTATACTTTCCAGCAAAAAAAATAATAACTACTATTCGCGTATTCTGTGTACCTTGCTTCAACAACGAGTAATGACGATGTTGCAAGAACAGAGCCGTACTACAAAATTTTCTTTTTTTTTTTTCTTTTTCCGACGAGTCCATGCATGTGTGTATTTTATGTCTCTGGGCTCTGATACTTTAAATGCAACGAAAGTCTTTGGACAGTAGCAATGAAAGCTGGGGACAGGCTTTAAGGTACCGACGTATGAATATGTTATGGCAAGAAGGAATCTGTCCAGGTGCAACAGCTCCCTTGAATCCACACATGAATCACGAATGTCGGCACGTTACCTTAATTTATGTACTCTGCTGTGGACGTGACGCTGAAAACTAATTGCAGATTTATTTACACAATCTCACGAAACTGAAATGAAAAATTTAGTTGAAGTTACCCTAGTGCTACCATTGAAACACAAGCTACCAGCAATAAGTGTGTAGCTGAGGACGTTTGCTGCTGCATCACCAATAATAATAATAATAATAATAATAATAATAATAATAATAATAATAATAATAATAATAATAATAATAATAGGCATGAGTAGCCCGACGAGCTTCTGCTGATGGCAGTTCTAGCCTAGACAAACCAGACGGCCTTCAAGCTGAGCCGAAATCGTGGCGTAGATAAACATGCATAAATGTACACACGTGGGAAAAGCTGTTGCACGAAAGTCAGATATGCCGTGTGATATGTAGAAGCAACAGACATCAAAATAGTGTGTCAACATGGGAACTAAGGAATGCTTTAGCCAATGTGAAAGACAAGTTGCTGAGCAGAAATTTCCCTTGGTCTTGTTTATGCCATAGGCTGCCACAATTGTGACAACCAGTGCATCGGTGAAACTGGTGATTTCAAGAAATGAGTGAAACACAAATATGATGCCACAAAACAACGCATGGCCTAGACTGCCCTCGCTGAACATGCGAAATCTACAGACCACCAAATAGACTTGTAAAACTCGTGTGCCCTGGAAGAAAAAAACCCGCATCTTCCCACTGGGGCGACGCGAGCAAATGTGTCATGGAGTGGTGGGGGTATCGCAAGAATGTTGCATGATTGTGTAAGGTTTGGGAATGCTTAATTTTTATTTCATCTTTATGATTTGTATTTATTAAACGAAAGAGAAGCACTGCCTTCAACGAGAAGTGGCACACTTTTAGGTTGTGCCCCACTACTGGTTGAAGGTACAGGCATGGCCACGTCTGTGTATAGCGCACAAGCGGCCAACCTTGCTCTGTGGCGTGACACCTTGCGGCCGTTGCGGGTTGTGACATCGTGTGCACAGGAGCATGCGCGGCCTTAGAAACATGCATGACTCCTCTGCACTGGTTATAACGTATGAAGGTGTGCTTGCTTAGCAGAAGATTCTCGCTTCTGCGGGGCACTTTGGTCACATTTATTTCATAAGATGAAGTGCATTTCGACTGATAAAACAGGCCTCCATCAACTATTCATGCTTTGTGGCTGCTTTGAGGCATGTGATTATATGAAGATATAATAATGCCAACAGGTGCGAACAAAAAATTGCAGACAGCCACAAAATCAAAACGGCCACAAAGTGTGTGTCCTTTACGCAACTATACAGTGTTATCAGTCGGAACGCGCTTCGTCCTATGATATAGATATACAAAAGTGCCCTGAGCGAGCGTGAATCTTCGGTTAAAGAAGCACACCTTCCAACGTTGTCACCCATGCAAAGCAGGCCTGTATGTTTATAAGGCCACGCATGCTCCAGTGTATGCAATGTCACAACCCGCAACGGCCACAGAGCAAGGCCGGCTGCTCGCGTGCTATACACTGACATGGCCGCGGCTGTACTGTTGCTTCTATCACATCTACTTCAGTCAAGTAAAGCATCAAGTGAAAGCCAAGTAAAGACGCCCTTGACTGAAATCCGAACGCCCGATCCAATGTCTACATATACGGGGTGGTCAGCTATCAGTTGTGCAGCACAAGCAGTCTGTTTTTACTAGCAGACCCTGCCTGCAGCGGCCTTGCGAGGCGAGAGAGTGGGGTGAGTGATAGTTGGCACGAGATGCGAGCATGCCCAGTAGGGGTGTAGACACCACCGCCTGTGCCAGATTTGAAAGTAGGTGTGACTATAAAATGCTCTGCATTTAAAAGAAGCTTGTATCATGCCTGAACCTGGTATCCAGATACAGAGGATTGTACATATGCTGAACAGGAGTGATGGGACGCTTCAGATGATGTACTCTCACTGCATATGTCATGTATTTAGGCGTACCTAAGTACACTGTGCCTTTCTTATGGCTTTTATTGTGTATAAGGCTCCCTCCCATATAAGGTCCTCAAACATCAGTAAACTTTGGGTTCTATGGGTCGGTGTATCCTTCCGCGTTTACACTAAGAAACAAGAACTATGCACTGTCTTTTTTTTTTTTTTTTTCACATGCCTTCTAGCAGCTCACTGTAGTTGCAGCTATGAGAGAGACTTTTTAAGCTTTGATCAGTGGTAATGCTTATTTTTGAGATGGTCGCACAGAACTGCTGTCAATTTCCATGACCTGGCTAGGTTTTTTAGAAATTCCCCGACTTTTGCAGGTTTTCAAAGTTTTCAAGGCTGCTGGTACGAACCCTAAGCAATGCCTCTTTCTGTCTTCAAGTTGCGTCTACTCGCCGAAAGGCATTCGCTGCAGTCAGCAGTCCGGCAGATGCACATCACTGTTCCTTTATCTGGTCGATTGCGTCTCTCGAGTGTCTCCACCTAAAATGCTTGCATCTTACAACATAGCCTAGAGTTAGTAACAAAAAAAGAAAAAAGCCGAGAGAGAGATAAACTACTTTCAGTACCAATTTGGCTGACTGGCCGTGCTGCTTTTCATGGAGCAAGTGAACAAGATATCAAGCATCTGCTTTTCTGACATCTCATGCAGAACTAGAAAATCCTTATGTGGAGTACTGCAAGACCTGACAGCAATGTGGTAGTGCACTAAGGTTTGGCTCTGCAAGGAGGTATTTTATGCATTTAAAAAAAAGCTCTACACTGAAAACAAAAAATTCACAAAGCTTCCTCTACCATTGAATCAGAAATGTTAAGAGTTGTGCTAATGAACTTGAAAGAACAAATAAAGACACTACCTTTCCGTGAACTGCTTGATGGTGCTTGCGTAAACATTTCGAATCTGAGAACGTGCGCTGGCAGAGTTCACACGTTTGCTGACTGTACCAACGCTTGTGTGGTGTGTTTTTGCGATCCAAATGCACAACATGATGGTTCCGTAGCTGTGAAAGCTGCTTGAAACCTTTTCCGCACTGGGCACATGTGAAGTCACGCTCCTCACTGTGAATTCGTGCATGATTTTCAAGCTTGAAAGCACTGAACGTCCGGTACTCGCACTGTACACATCTGCAAATTGAGAAGAACCAACTTCAGGCACACTTAATAGTACTGATAAGGTTATTCTGAGAAACATTTTGGCACGAACTCACAACTCAGTTTATTGAAATAAATAAATACACGAAATATATATCTCAGGGTACCTCAAGAGCGCATGTGTGTAAAGAACAAGCAAGAAAAGAAAACGAAAGAGCAAAAGAATAAATGATAACACACCATGACACAAATTTTTATGTAAGTGGTATCTACAACATGCAACAGAATGTGAATAGCCATATTATTCAGTGAAACATATTTTCTAAAAACACAAAAATTGGTGCAGTTTTGCTTGAAATATGAAGGATTACCAGATAGCAAAGAATTTTACAATTGCTCGAAGTTTTAGGCACATGGCTTAATGAACAGTGAAAGCTGCAGTAAACACCAGTTTACTGACCAAAGCACGGCGTGACATGCCCAAGTTCACAAGTGATTGCAAGCATTACTGAAGGTTCACAAGAGTGGCACTGCTAGGAGTGGACGGCACACATACTGTCCATTGCTTCAACATGCAAGTTACACCACATCTCCAGGTGGATGCCGTACCGTTCAACACTAATTACACTTTTCTCTGCATGCTTACACCGAGCATGTGGTGCATGTACATGATGCATGGGCAGTGTCACAACATGAGGGCTGTGTGTGTATTAGTGATGTGATGTCCAACATTAGCCACGCGGTAAGACTCGTACATCAACAGCATTGGTCTTGCACTAACATCATGCACCAGTGATGTCACGTGGACCGAGACAAGATTGCTGGTCAAGTGGGGTGCCCATCGTATGTGTGCATGCTGACAGTCGCCACTGCCGCAGTCCAAGCTCAATCAGTGGCGTTGTGCCTGCCCACTCGAGAATGTTCAGCTTTTTTAGAAGCTAAGCTGTTTCTGATCAAGGCTTTCATGTCTGGGGACCATTTTAGATCGCAAACTGTAGTAGGGTTTACTTACAGGAAGTGGGTAAATTCTACTACAGGTAAGTGCCACTCTTCCCAGAACCCCCACCTATCACGACACCCCCCGACTCACCACTATTTCCACAACTCATCACTACACCCACTAGTTCTCCCACCACTTCCACTTTAGTCAGCCACTCTCATGATGACTGTGCCATTTCTGGCTGAGAAAGTAGTTCACCAGGCCAGAGGGCAGCTCTGATGTACATAAAATTGAACCCATGTCAGGGGTTGCTGAGCATGATGACACAACTGGTTGAATGGAAAACAACAGGTTTAATAAGGATTGAAACAGAATACATGACTAGTTCTTCGTCAGCGTGGCTTCCCTCCTCGAACCCTCACCAGTTCCCCCCATCACCTCCTCGCAGCCACTGTCACAAGCTACTACAGTCGTACACCTTTATAAGAGGCACTAATATAAGAGACAAATGTGTATAAAAGACACCAATGTGCTTACAGTAAAATATGGGTTAATAAAAAAATACATACGAGGTACCCTGCTCACCAGCTCACCCATCACCAACCCTCACCAGTTCCGCCCATCACCTCCTCGCGGCCACTGTCACAAGCTACTACAGTCGAACACCTTTATAAGAGGCACTAATATAAGAGACAAATGGGTATAAAAGACACCAATGTGCTTACAGTAAAATATGGGTTAATAAAAAAATACATACGAGGTACCCTGCTTATAAGACACATCTCATATAAAAGACAAAAATTGCTGCCCAGAGCGTGCCTTCTATAAAGGTGTTAAACTATAGTTTCACAACGTTACGATAGGTATAGGTTTTGGTAAAAGCGGGGATGACCGGTGTGGCCAGAGCCTTCAGTATTGTACGGCGTTGTGTGACTTTACTGCGCAAGGTTAGCGCATTCGCCGCGGCGTCGCAATATAAAAAAACTACAAACTGTGGCGCGCTGACACAGCGCCGCGCCGCCTTTATGGCGCAGCGGCGTGCCCGCTCTGAAAATGACGCACAGCTCTATTCCCACCTCGAACCCTCAGCGGTCCCTTCCGTCACCTTCTCGCGGCCGCAGTCACAAGGAGCTATTAATTCCAGAACATCGCGATACATGGCAATAGCTGTCTGTAGTGGATGTAATTGCCCAACAATTTGCTTGGCTAAACCAGGATACCTTTGAGCCAGAGAGTCGGCAAGTTGGCTGTTTGGCAGAATGCAAACACACGTTGAAATTAACCGCAGTTGAAAGTTTGAAGGAGCTCACGATAGTCCAACAACGCAACCAAAGCTTCTAGGCAATGTAGAAGTGGCACCATCTTGTGGCATTTGCGTAAAACAAGGATGCCTGAGCCCGGACGATTTGCCACTGGAGTATACAGTCAACTGTCAATAATTCACTCGAAGAGACCTTTGAATTTTGTTTGAATTATCAAGAAGTTTAAATAATCAGAAGCTCTGAGATATATTGTTACACAAATTAAGGTAACTTAATGGGGGGGTTTTAATGAGCCCTGAGTCTGCGATCACAGTATAATGATGATGATCACCGCCATGGCTCGTACCCACTCAGGGGGATCGCAGTGGAGGCAACGTCGTCTTCCTTTTCTGCCCACGCTTCCCTTGTTTTTCCTGGTAGTGATACTTTGTATCATTCCTCCTCTCTCTGACGAATCCCTCTGGGCGAGTCATTCTTGCATCCTTCGTGTAAACGGCTTCAGGCGGGCAACATGCGTCACCTCTGTCTTGCATGAACGTCGGCCACTAGTGGTGACACGTGCAATTTCGTAGTTGACCTCGCTGAGACGATGGAGTATCACGAAAGGACCGGCGTAGTGTGCCAGTAGCTTTTGGCTCAAGCCACGTTTGCGTATTGGGGTCCACACCCACACTAGATCCCCGGGGACATAGGTTACATGCCTGTGTTGACTGTCGTAGCGAGTTTTGGATGACTCTTGCGCTGCCAGTGTACGTAAGCAGGCAAGTCGACGGGTCTCTTCCGCACGACACAAGGTTTCCGCAATTATTAAATCGTCATGGATGACAAAAGGAAAGATAGTGTCCAGCGTATGTCGAGGTGAGCGAGCGTAGAGCAGATAGAAAGGACTATAGCCTGTCGTTTCGTGTTTCGACGTGTTGAAGGCGTACGTGACGAATGGTAATACTTCATCCCAGTTTTTGTGGTCAGAGGCGACGTACATTGACAACATGTTGATCAACGTTCGGTTTGTGCGCTCGGTGAGACCGTTAGTTTGCGGATGATACGCAGCTGAGTGTCGGAACTTGGAGGCACACAAACGAAGTAATGATTCGACAATATCAGCGGTAAATTGTCGTCCACGGTCACTTATTATCACGTGAGAAGGTCCGTGTCGGAGGATCACTGAATGCAACAGGAACTCCAAAACCTGGACTGCCGTGGCGGAGCATAAGGCAGCCGTCTCGCAGTACCGCATCAGGTAGTCGGCGCATACAATTATCCACCGGTTACCTTTTGAAGAGCGTGGAAATGGTCTCATCAGATCAATGCCAACCTTTTCAAAAGGGGAACCGGGAGGCTTTACCGGTTGCAGGTGACCAACTGGACCCGAGGAGGGCCGCTTGTGGCTCTGGCACTGCGTACAGCTGGCCACGTAGTTCTGAATTGTTTTGCTCATTTTCGGCCAATAAAACCGCTCTTTCGTGCGACTAAGTGTTCGTGCGATGCCTAGATGGCCAGAGGTGGGGTCATCATGCGTAAGACGCCGAACAGACGTTTGGAGGGACGCAGGAACAACCAGCAGAAAGCGGGCGCCCGTCGTGGACAAGTTTCTCTGGTAAAGAAGACCATTTCGGACGCAGAATCGGCCTTCGCTTAATGAATTTCTCGCTCCAGGGAAGAGAGCTTTTAAGCTTGGGTCATTACACTGCTCAGTGGCGAAAGTCACGGCATCAGGAAAGCCAGACGACAGAGAAGCGATAAGGTGGTCAAAGTTATCGGCTTCACAATCTGTCGATGGTAGCGGCATTCTGGAGAGGCAATCCGCATCAGCGTGTAGACGGCCAGTCTTGTATGAGATGGTGGAGACATGTTCTTGCAAACGAATGGCCCATCGTGCGAGGCGGCCGGATGGGTCACGAAGGTTGATCAGCCAACACAGGGAATGGTGATCTGTGACGATAGTGAACGGGCGACCATAGATGTATGAGCGAAACCGTTGCACGGCAAAGACTACCGCTAGGCATTCCTGTTCGGTCACTGTGTAGTTGCGTTCAGGCTTGCTTAAAGAACGACTTGCGTACGCCACAATGTGTTCCTTCTTGCCAGAACGCTGAACGAGAACGGCACCGATACCGATGCCACTTGCATCTGTGTGAATTTCCGTGGGCGACGAAAGATTGAAGTGCCGAAGTATTGGCTGCGAAGTTAAACACTTCAGCTTGTGAAAAGCGGCATCACACTCGGAGGTCCACTGAAACAGGCTGTTCTTGCGTAGAAGGCTCATCAGGGGGTGAACCACATCCGCAAACTTGGGTACGAACCGGCGGAAATACGAGCAGAGCCCGATGAAGCTACGCAGTTGTTTCACAGATTTAGGACGCTCGAACGATTCAACGGCCGCGGTCTTTTGTGGATCAGGTCTAATGCCATCTTTGTCGACGAGATGTCCTAACACCAATGTCTGTCGCTCGCCAAAGTGGCACTTTCTCGAATTCAATACAAGGCCAGCTTTTTCAATGCAGCTTAGCACGAGGTCTAGGCGAGTGTTGTGCTCCTCAAACGTACGTCCAAAAATTACGACATCATCAAGGTAACACATGCATATATGCCATTTTAAACCACGCAATATAGAGTCCATAAATCTTTCGAATGTCGCAGGAGCATTGCATAATCCGAATGGCATAACGTTGAACTCGTAAAGTCCGTCGGTCGTAACGAATGCCGTCTTTTCTTTGTCAGCTGCGTGCATCGGAATTTGCCAGTAACCTGATCTCAGGTCGACAGATGAAAAGTAGGACGCGGAATGCAGGCAGTCTAGAGCGTCATCGATGCGCGGCAGTGGATAAACG